CAGATCAACCCAGGCATCTCCACAAAGACTTCCCTGAAGCCTCCAGCCACCTCTGACCTTTCCTCTCTCTGATTTCCTGCACCTGAAGGTCCAGACCCTGACTCGCTGGGGTCATGCTCTCTGGGGGCCTGTCTGTGCCCTGAGGACAGCTCTGGACTACTTCCTCCAGCTGCCCTCACACCAAGTCAGAGCTAGAGCCATCCAGATAGGGGTCTCAGGGCCTCAGCCTGGATTCAGGAGCCCCATCTAGGGACCTCTCAGGTGGCACAGACTGTCATGGCCTTAGCTCTCCATCCTTACTCTGTGTCCAGCAGTGCAGAAGCCTTTACCATGGCCTAAGGCCAGGACAGCCTCTACAAACCACCTGCCCAGCAACTTCCTGTACAGAAGGAAGTTCTTCCTGTAGAGGAGGGAAACTCAGACCCAGAGGTGGCAGAGGCCCAGCCTGAACCTGAACTCACTGAATCCAAACCCCTAAAACTCAATTAACTCCTGCCTCTGCCACCACAGATAAGAAGACTGACTCGTAAAGGTGAAGTGACCCCCCCAAGGTCACACAGTAAGGACTGGGCTCTTGCTCAGCTGGGACCACTCCAGGGTGCCCTCCCACAACGGCACAGTACAGGGAGATCGAAGGCAGAAGACAGGGGTAGGTTCTGAGCCACAGGGTCCAGGAGACGGAAGGGCCCAATGGTGCTAATAAGCAGGCCCAAGGGAGTGAAGGGATCTCGGCCTTGGAGTCTCAAGGACCTGGGCTCTGATCCTGCCTCGGCTACCTTCTAGCTGTTTGACTGCACAAGTGAATTCTTGCCCTAAACCTCAGCTTTCACATCTGTTCAATGGAGTTCATAAGACTCACAACTACCACAGGACAGTTGTGAAGACTCAGTGGGACAACATGAAGAAAACACCTGGCCCTGCGGCTGTCCCCACCTTCCCCATGACCCTTTTGAGTCCCATGGACCATTAAGAGTGAGAAGGGTCCTTGGAGATCCCTGAGACGATCCCAAATTTTACAGGGGGAGAGAATGAGGTGCTGAGATGGGACAGGCCAGAGCACTGGCTTAAGAGCTTGGAACCCAGGGGGCCTGTGGTGTGGAAGCAGGTGGCCAGTGAGACAGGTCAAGGAGGGGTCACTGAAGCTTTCTCCAAAGGGGAAGAGGAGGAGTCGTAGGACAGGAAGTCAGAGGAGATAGGTCCCCACCACCCAGCTTCTTGTGGCAAGAGGAACCTCAGGTGCTCAGCTGCACTCCCCCAGGAGACCTTGCACCCCTGCTTCAACCGTCAAGCCCCTCAAGGCCCCTACCCACCGGGCCCACTCCTGCCTCTGTGGTCTGCCTATGGACACCTGCCTCATGCAGTGGGCAGGGGGTCACCTAGAATTGTCAGTCTTCTCTCCACCAAGGTCTGGACACCTCTGAGGACAGGGGCCAGGTCTCCTCTGCCTCTCAGGTGGCTAGGTACACAGCAGCATCAGAGAGCCCGAGCACATGAGCATCCAGGGCAGGGCTGGGCAGGCCGTGTCATCTCCTGCTTTCTGTCCCCTGTGCCTCATCCCTCTCCATGGGCCCCAGCCCAGGCGTTGAGTTTAGAGGCCCTTGGAGCCAGGAGAGCCCCATGGCACAGATGGAGACATAACCCAGAGAGGGCAGGGATGTGCCCACAGTCACAAACACAGCAAAAGAATACCATAGCCAGGACTAGACCTCAGCCTCTTCCCCAGCTGGCCCTGCTTGAATAAATGACAGACCCCCCCGGTTTCCCTTTTCTCTACTGCTACAGGAGCTGTGGGGAAGCCTGGCCTGGGCATCGAGAGACCTGTATTCAGGTTCCAAGCTTCCCTCTGCCTTGGACCCAGGATCCATGTTCAGCGTCTGCCTTTGGGACGAAGCCTGACCTCTCAGGAGGTGGTATCTGCCTCCTCTCCAGTGCCCGGAGAACAGTGCAGGCTTGGGACCAGACCAGGCTGGAGGCCAGGAGGGAGGGAAAGGGAAGAGGTGGCCTCCAGCAGCCCTGTCCCTTTGTCCTGGCTCCAAATGCTGGGCCAGAGCCACAGTGTCTTCCAGAAACCTCTGGACGCAGGGGCAGGGAGAAGATAAGCCTGGGGGAAAGGGAGTGAGGTGGAGGAAATCAATCAGGTAGGCAGATAGGTGGACCCGCTCCCCCAACCTGGGATCATGCACACAGGGCATGTACAGGAGGCAGCTGGCTTTTCCGGCTCAGAGGGCAGGCCCAGAACAGGCTGTGGGGAGGGGGAGCTCAACAAATACCTGTGGTTGAGTCGCAGCCTCCCGGAGTGGCCCAGGGGACTCTGGCTTCAGACCTGCTGTGTGACCTTGACAAGCCACCCCCCTTTCTGGGCCTCAGCCTTCTCATTTATCCAACAAGAATGGGATGATGGGAACACCTCGCCCTTCAAAGAGTTACTGATGGGGTCAAACGCCAGAATGTTGACAAAGATGTGAGCCCAAGCTGAGAGAGGCAGGGGCTCTGGAGCCAGGCTGGCCTGGGTTCCACTCCTGCCTCAGCTGATATGACCTTAGGCAAGTGACATCACCTCTCTCAGCCTCAGTTTCTTTGTTTGTAGCATGGAGACAAGCCTACTACTGCCCAGGACTGGCCGGAGGGTAAATTAGACCGTGGAGAGAAACGCTTGGCTCAGAGCAGGGGCTCTTACCAGAAATGGATTCCTGGAATCTTGGGGATGGGGAGCTCAGAGACCTCTGCCTGTCCCCCACAGCTCCATCTGGCTGTGCTGAGGGGATCAGAGATCTCGGGATGCCCGTAACCAAGGCCCCAGCCTCCTCCTTAGGCCCCAGCTCTGCTCACCTCCTGGCCCTAGTCCCCCCTCCACTGTGGGGAGCACAGCAGAGAGAACTAGGCAGGGAGGCTAAAGGTCTGGGTGCCAAGTCTGGCTCTGCAGGGACTTGGCTGTGTGAGTCTGGGCTGGCCCCTGTTCCTCTCTGGACCTCGGTTTCCATACTTGCACCCCAGTGAGGAGTGAGTATGAAACTGGGGTTGTAAAGGCACCTCCAACCTCTGCTGAGTCTGAAAGGGAAGGAAGGTCAGGTGTATGCCCTGACCACAAGCCCACAATACCCCTGTTTTTCCAAGTCCCCTCCACTCCCAAGGAAGAACACCTGACAAATCTGATCTGGCCACAAGGGGTCCATTGTGGCACTCTGGTCCCCAGAACTGCCAACTCCAGTCCTGGACTAGGCTGGGTTTATTCATTAACCAAGCCAGTTGGAGGAGGCAGCTCCGCCCTGTTGACACAGAGGGTGGGAGTACTGGTTCAGTACAGTTCAGACTTTCCCCTTCTCTTCCCTCTGGAGAGCCAGCTCGGTGGGGAAATTACACTTCCCCACCCCACTGCACAGCCCAGCCTTTGAGCCTTTCCTAGGTCACAGTCAGGAAAACAACCTTGTTCTCACAACTTTGCTCACCTTTTATTCAGTTTGTTTCTTTGTTCCTTCCTTCCTTCCATCCTTCATTCAACCAACATCCCTGCTCTGTCTGTGTTGGAGGTTGAGGACGCAAAGAAGGATAGAGACAGTGCTCTCTGTCTTCAGAGAGCACTAAGCTGGAACATACCAGCTGCCCTTCCCTTCCCTGCTCCTCAGGCTCAGACACAGGTCAGGCCTCCGGGAAGGCCCCAGCCCAGGGTCCTCAGGCCTGGGTAGAGAGTCCCAGGAGGGGAGACACACATGGAAACCCAGAGAGAAAGAGACAGTCAGATAGCCAGGGTGCAGACAGAGAATTATAGAAGGAAGAAGGGAAGACAGAATGGGTGAGCCAGAAGACCACACGGGGACAGGTGGACAAAGGTCTAAATGACTAAGACAAAGTGAGGCAGAAAGGCACAAGGTCAGAGTGGGAAGGTCAGACATCTCTGGCCCTGGTATGAGGCCCTGATGCCAGAGCTAAATCCAAATCCAAGAGCAGGTCCCAGGCAAGGGGGGCTGAAGTAGGGGAAGGGCAGGAGTGCCCTCTGAGTTCAGTGTCCTGCTTCCACCTCTGCCCCCCTCCACCACAGGAATACACTCCTCCACATGTTCGAGAAGGACAGCAGGAAGGGTGAGGCAAGAGAAAGGGAAGGGTACAGTTTACTGCCAGCACCCCACTGAAGGGAGACCTGCCCCCTTGAAAAGTGGCACTCACAGCAATGCCAGATGTGTTATGTTGGAGGAAGCTACCGAGGCCTCTAATCAGAGCCTTCACCAGCCTATTCCCCATCTAGTTCCCCAGGGTAGGTGGGCTCACGGGGTCCCAAACCCCAAGCCGGCCCTGTCTAAGCAAAGAGAAGAAAATCAGGGGGTTGTGAGGAATGGGGTTGATGGCTGTGAGGGAGGCTAAATGTGCCTACATCTTCCTTGCATCTGCTGGCCCTCCCCCAGCCCACCCCCAGTCTGGCCCTGTGTAAGGCAGAGACATTTAAGTCCTGCTTTCAGGATCTGCCGGCCAGGATCCTGAGTCCCTGCAGGAGAGACTCAGGGAACAGCCAGGAGGGAAGGGGGAAGAGCAGAGCATCAGACAGGAAGGAATCAGGTCCCTGGCACCCAAGGGTGCAGAGAGCGGGGAAAGAGACCCAGCTCAGGCTGAAAGAACCAAGAATTCAGGAGAGAAGGGCTCAGTCTCCCTCCTCAGATGACTCAAGTCAGGACGTGGTGAAGGCTTCCATGGGCAGAGGGCTCCCTGAGGGAGACCATTCTCCTAGGTAGGCCTGACAGCAGCCCACCTCCCTGGATCAGGCAGGGGTGTGCAGAAGCCTGGGTTCTGGCTGAGTGAGCCAGAGGGAGTCACACCCCCTCTCCAGGCCTCAGTTGGCCCACCTGTGAGATGGGGGCTTGCCCAGCAAACTGTGCCTCCTCCTGGTTTCTCACAGGAGAGTCTGAGGTGTGCAACCGAGTGTCTGTAACCCTGAGGGAGGACCAGGAGACTCCCTGGTCAGAGAAAGTAAGGGTGCAGTACAGACTACACCTGCTGCAGGGCAACCCTACCTTGATCTTGTGCAGGGTACGATCCATCTCCACAGCCTGCACCCACACAGACACGCCGGCCTTGCTGTAGGTCAAGTTCCAGCCCGCCTCGGCCTCACACTCTGACCGGAAGCTGCGGAAGTCCTGGTCGTCGGGCACCTGGACGCTGTCGCGGCCCAGGACTGGCCGAGGCCCCTGGGGCTCAGTTGAGGCAGCTGACTTCTCCATGGGGAGGCCCAGGGCCCTGGTCCTAGTCCGGCTCTCCTGGGTCCTCCGCGGAAGCTCCAACAACGTCGACGCGGCTGCAGATGCTGACGCCACCTTCCAGGGACCTGAAAGACCGGTTTGGGAACCAGAGTCAGTGCGCTGGGGGCGCGGGTGCGGCTGTCCGGGGTCCTGGCGGGTAGAGAGAGACAGGCAGGGGCTGGCCAGCGCGCACCGCCGGTACAGAGCAGTACGCCCCCCGACCCCTTCGCTAGGCGCGACCCAGACCTCCGGTTTGGGGGCCGGAGTGGGGGCTGCGTATCGGGTGCGGGGGGGGCCCGTCGGGACCCGGGAGAGGCCGCGACCCGAGGTGACGGACGGCCCGGCGGGGTCTGCGCAGCGCTGGCCGGACTGGCTCAACTAACTCGGCAGCGGCGCCGGCGCGGGGCCCGTGGTGGGCGCTGGGTGGGGTGCTTGCGGGGCCGGCCCGCTCACCTGTGCCAGCTGCTCCGCCGGGGCCCGCCGGGGCCGGAGGTGCGAGCGCCTCTGCCGCCGCCGCCGCCGCCGCCGCCGCCGCCGCGCTGCCCGGGCGACCGGGGCCGCGCGGGGGCTCTGGGGGGAGGAGCAGTGGGTCCCGCCGCCGGCCCCGCCCCACGCGCCCCCCCCCCCCCCCCCGCGCGCCCCCGCCCCCCCCCCCCCTCTTCCCGGGCTAGGCTGGGGGCTCTGGGGGCTCCGCTCGCCGGCGCTCGGTATTTTCCTGGCTGCGGAGGTACAGCAGATGGGTCTCGGAGCCCCGCCCCGCCGGGTCCTAGCGCCCGCTCCACCCGCCTCCGAAGGGGACCTGGCCCTACCAGTCCTTAGGCAGGGGTCGGGGAGGAGCCCAGATAGAGTGGGCTCTGAGAAGAAGGGCGAGGAGGTGCTCGAAGGGGGATTCTGGAAGTTACCTGCGAACCCCTTCTCTTCAACACCCTCCCATACTCACAGGTACACACCTCTGCAACAACCTACTTAGACACAAGGAACCACCCAGAGACCCAAAGATGGGCACACTCCCCCTACCACAATCAAGAGCCCATAGCTTGCATCCCCCAACAACCACTAGCCACTCCCATCTCACTCCCGGCTGGGAGCTTTAACCAGGCTCTCCTCCAGCCCGACTCTGGCCCTTGTCCACCACCACCCCTCCTGAGCACCCATGCATGTATTCACACACCTCGCCTGGATTAGACTAGGCTCTCAAGAGCATCTGGCCCCAGAGCTCTGGGGCTACCCTGTCCCTCCCCAGGCGGAGCTGTCCAGAGCTCCACAGCCACAGGGTAGGTAGGTCCACCAGTACTCCAGCCACCCCTTTCAGCCAGGGAGGCTGTTACCTGCCCCCCTGGGTCCTAGTGCCAGCTCTGCCTCCAGCTGCCCCGTGTGACCTGAGGCCAATAGTTCAATTTCTCTGAGGTGAGGCCAGTAAGAGTGTGGCAATGGGCCCAAGGCTAGCATTCACTGACCCTAGTGACTTGCCCTTGACTGCAGAGGGCTAGGGAGAGCTAGGGCCCGTGGTGAGCTCCCCTAGATGGGCAGCTAATAGGGCACAAGTGCCCATCACTTGCCCACTGCCACACGGAGAGTACATGGCCATCCTTCCCAGAACCCAGATCTCAGCCTCCTCCCACCCCAGGGGTTCCTTTCTCTGCTCTGGCTGTCCCCATCATCTTTCTGAGCCTTAGTTTCCCATCTGTAGAATGTGAGCATCAGAATATATAACCTCCTAGCCTCACCATCCTAGAGCTCTGGGATGGAACAGCTTTTCTTAAAGGTGCTCGAGAAAGATAAGGAGTTGTCACGGTGGGTTCACAAATAGAGGTGTTTCTTCCTGAAGTGCTTAAGGCTCTGAGATGTGTGTGAATCAGGCCCAATTTTAAAAGTGGAGGGGGTGAGCAGGGAGCCCAACTTGTAAAATGAGTTGCAGGTCCCCATGAGGCTTGTGTGATGACCTTAGATCTCCAGTGTGAGGGGCATAGTCAGATAATCACCCTCACCCCTTCTAACCCACATTCTTTAAGTGTGTAGAAATGGGTGGCAGGGGGGCTGGATCTGGGTTCAGGAGGCCAGCGCTCTGGCTCTCTGTTATGCATGGCTTCTGCCTCCACCCCAACCCTAGGCAGTTCACTGCCCCTCCCCTGGCTTCAGTGGTTTTATCTGACAGCCTCATACCCAGGCTAACGGGAGATTCAAAGAGGGGTACACAGAGCCTGCTTTGTGAACTGTAGCCTCTGGGATCTGCCACGAGGAAAAGAGAGAGGAGCACTGGCCTGGCAGCTCCTGCCTTCTTAGGGCCCCAATGACACACATCTCAGCTGACAGCAGGCACCAGGGCAGTACCCCTCTCATGCCTATCACCCAGTCTAGGGTAGAAGAGATAAGGCTGGGGTGACAGCAGGAGATAGCAGTGAGGACAGACAGGACTTCTCCACCCTCCAGAGCACTGCCAGCCTGAGACACACAAACTCAGGGAGGTACACATGGCAGAAATCAAACCAACACTCAAATCCAAATATAGATTAACCAAGAATGAATCTTTTGGGTCTTGGGGCAGTAAAAGTGGGTGACCTGGTACCTCTGGGCTCAGATGGCTATGCCCTGGGCTCAACCCTGCCTGGAAGTTTAGGCCAGGCTAGCTGGGGCATCACTCCTCATCCTATTCATCATTAATTTGCCCTTGCAGGCCCCCCCAAACCCCAGGAATTTAGGTATCTCTGGCTCAAGGGTTCATGACAGCCTCCCAAACATGCCTGGATCAAAGCAGATTCATATCCTGTCTCAAACACCCCTGAGCAGCAGAGAGAAGGCTAGAGGGCTGGGATGGGTGACCTGGGGGAGGAGTCTGGAGAGGAGTCCTAGGACTTGGCCATCCCTGCTTCCCATAGCCTGGAAGTGCAAAGGGCCTGTGGAACTGGGTTCAAATCCTGTCTATACCATTTCCTAAATGTGTGACCAAGAGCAGGTGACATGTCCTCTCTGAGCCTCAGTTTCTTCATCTAGAATAATAATACCTACTCTCTGAGAATTATTGCAAGGAAAAGAGTTGTATATGTATCAGTTTCACCCCCAAGTAACTAAAAATATAACCGGAGGGAGAAGGGTAGGGAGGAATAAATGCACTGTACAAAAATGGCATATTTCCAACAAAAAAGTGTTAAGGTAACATCTTGACAGGATGGCTGTTAAGAGTCTCAGGAAAGAGTAAACAGTGGAAAAGCTTGGCAAAGCATGACCCTGCTCTGCCCGCTGCAGCCCCTGCACCAGCCACAGGGCCCCTTGACGGAAAGTGGATTGGGTGAGGTGCCTCTCTGGGCCCCAGCCCCAGAATGGGACAACACCAAGCAGGAGTCAGAGTGGGAGTGGAAGGCGGGAGCGTGTAAGAGAAAGAGAAGGTGCTTGGCAAACTGAGAGGGATCATGAGAATGTGAGGAATCATTACCCAGGGTGCTGAGCAAGTGCTGGTCTTACACATGCCCCTCACAGAGAGAGCAGCTGAGGTGTGAGAGGCAGGGGGACGCCCCTGAATCAAAGTAAGACAGAACCCATCTAGGGACCTCCAGTACCACAGGACTCTTGGAATGGGGGTTGGCGGTCGTTTGGAGATATCCACACCAGTCCTTGCTCACTGCCTCCTGACAGCTGTTGCAATAGGGTCAGGGCACCTGCCTGGAGCCATCCATGACCTGGTCCCTCACATTCCCCTCAACTCCCCTCGCTGAGTCCCCATCAGGACTAAAGACCCTCAGACTGATATCATATGGCCACAGCCCCCAACTGTACAGATGGAGAAACAAAGGCCCCACCAGCAGGGACAAAGCAGAGGTAAGATCCTAGGTCTCCCAGCTCCTAACCCAAGGCTCTGTCCCTGTTCCCCATTATACACCACTACTTTCACTACCCCAGGGGTGACCTTGGGGTAGTCACCACCCTCTCTCTGCTTCAGGATTCATCCTCTGCCCAAGGGCCCCACCCTGTCGAGTGTCCTGGACAATGAGGGGCTACCAGGTCTTGACTTGCTCTGGGGTGCTCCCTCCAACTCATCATCTAGTCAGACGGATGGCTGCCTGGATCTCCCCCTGGGAGATGAGAAGGCCCCCCTGACGCCTTCTCCCCCAACTCCCTCTCCTCAGGGGTAACTGGCCCTGCCAGTTTAGTCGGAGAAAATTCCCAGGTTGCCTAGGGTAACGAGGCAGTATCCTGGGGGCACCGTTCTAGAAGACTGGGCAATGACCTGTGTGATGTCACCAGGAAGGAGCAGAGTAGAGAGGTAATTCCTGAGGCCCCTCTGGAAGGGCCCAGGGCAGAGCACCCTGAGGCCCCCAGGGCTGGCTCGGCCTTGAGACAGACATGTCCTTTACAGTTTGATGCAGGTGGCAATAGGCTCGGCACCCCAGTCCCAACTGGACCTGGATCTAAGTGTCTGCCCAGGGTGGGTCTCCTACCCCTGCTGGGCCTCCCTGAGCAAAGAGCCCAAGCACTGCCCTGAGGGAGCTGCTAGAGCCTGAGGGAGTCACAGAGAGGCACACAATCACAGTTACCCACATCCCCTCTCCTCCTGGTGACACTGTCACAGCCACGTGCCATCACACTGATGTCCTGTCACAGACCCACACAGCCACATACAACCTCAGTCTCATGCATGGGAGCCCAACATGGGTACACTGGCTTGGGTGCACCAGGTCACCCAAGTAGAGTTGCCAGATAAAACACAGGACACCTCGTGAAATTTGATTTTCAGATAAGGAAGATCATTTTTAGTATGAGCATGTAGCAAATATTTGCTAAATCTGGCAACCTTATACCTGAGGCCCTGTGCCACACCCACATCACAAAGCCTCAGAGAGCTACACCAGTCCCTCACCTGCCCTGGGAAGGTACAGTCAGCACCCGGGTCACAGCTGTTGCACACACGTGCACATACGTGCACATGCACACACACACGAACGGCCTTGCACATCCTCTCTGTGAAGAGGCCCTGGGCCAGAGTAAGAGTCTGCCACACTCATTTTGTCTAACCTTCACAATAACCTTAGGTGGAAGGTCATACAGGGACTCTTAGCCTCATTTGACAAATGAGAAAAATAAGGCCCAGCAAGAAACAGAACCTATCCTTGGTATCCCCACGTGTGGTCCCCTGGCAGGGGCAGAAGGGGTGCGAGGGAAGTCACGTTATACCTGGGCTGGGCTGTGTCCCTGGGCAGGTCTGAGCTCCTCAAGCAGGCCTCTTAGACGAGCCTCTCCCAGGTAGGAACAATAGCCTAGGGGCTTGGGGGGGTGGACCCTCTGCCCCTTCCCCCATCCAACGGGTGATCCTAAGTGCTCCCCAGAGGCCCCTCTAGTCCCAGGAGGTGGAAACTGTCCTGGCAGGGCACTGAGGGCCCAGCTTTGAGATTAAAAAATACGAAGAAATGGAAAGAAGGAAGTTGTGCGGGCTTCCAGAAAAGAGGCTGTCGTCCCAAGGCTGGAGTTCTTGCCCTGGTAAAAGGGCCAGAAAACCTCATCCTCCCCAGAGACACACAAAGGCACCTCCACCCCCACTGCCACCCAGCCTGAGCACATAGCCGAGGGGAGGGCCTGGGGTCAGGCAGATGGATCAGGAGCCTCTGACTAGAAACTTGAGGGCTTGTGGAAGACTGCATCAACCCAGCAATCGAACTGAGCTGCTGCAGGCGGCAGTGCCCCGAAGACATCATCAGCAGAAGGACCCAGCCTGCAGAGGGGGTGCTGGCCATCTGGGCCTGGGCCCTTCCGAAGAGGAGTCTCCATGGTTCCACCCTGGGCCCTGCCGACCTTGGGTAAGGCCCTGCACCTCTCTGGTCTGTCTTCCTGTCGAAGGGGTGGTGCTCAAGATGCCTCTCCACCGGCCTGGGGCAGGTGGATGGGCTCTGTAAATTGTGAAGTCCTGCATGGTGGGGGGGTTGCAGTGGAGCTGTGTTAGTCTCTTTCCCCCAAGCCTGGGAGCACCCTGGGCAGCAAGACCCCGCAAGGCCCAGAGAGAAGCTCCCAGGACTCTAGGGTACAGGGACTGGAGAATGGGGAGGGAAGGACAGAAGAGGAGGAGGAATAGACAGGGTGAAATACCCTGCTCAACAGTCTACCACAATGGTTAAGAGCCTGGGCTATGGAGCCAGGCTGTCTGGGTTAAAACCTCTTACTGTGTGATCTAGAACAAGTTACTTAACCTCTCTGTGTCTCAGTACTCCCATTTCTAGAATGAGTAGGCTAGTAGGACTTACACCATTGCCTCGGGGACGAAGTGAGTTCACGCATGTGGAGAGCTCAGCACGGTGCCCAGCAAGCAATGGGCACTCAATAAACACCATAGCTGCTATCAGTTCTTGTCTCCTGAGGCCCCTTAACCCCCGTCTGCCAGCTGTCCCCAAGGCACGGCCTCTTTCCTAAGCCTCTGCTCCTTGACCTGGAGGCAGTGCCTCCCTCTTCAGACATGGAAGAAAAGAAACAGTCTGGGTTCACGTGGAGCCTGGAGGGCTGAGAATAAAGCAGAAGTGAGTGCTATGACATCTTGTCCCCCTCCCTCACCCCAATTCCAAACAGCTACAAAGGCCTGGATGGGTTCCCTTTGGAAGGCCTTCGCTCAATGGCATGAGCTCCTTGCATCCACACAGCCCCTTCCCCAGTGTCTGACAACTGGATGCTTGGACAGCAGCAGGACCCAGGGAGCCTGGCTATGCCCAGCCAGCGGGCAGGACAGTACTGAGACGTCCACACTCCAGGGGCTGGTTCCTAGGACCCTGTGAAGGGCTGGTGTGGGGAAGGCTTGCTAGGAGCTCTGTCAGTGAGTGGGGCTGAAGGCTCTGCCTTGAGTCGGGGTTCATTCTGGGGCCAAAATTCACACCTGGAACAGGCCTAGAACAGACCCAGCTTCCATGGGGCACTGCTGTGCAGGGGACTCCTGCCAACCTCTACCCCCTTCCCTGAGGCCCTGGTGCCCCGCATTAGCGGGCATCTCCACAGTGCTCTCCCGGGGGCGGCTGCCTCCTTCAGCACCTTCTAAATTTAGGGCTTGGGCTCTGTGACTCATTCCTGAATCTGCTTTGCTCCCCTCCTCCAGGAGTGTGCTCCCGTGGTACTTTTATCTTCTGCTGCCTCAGACGGATTAACAAGGCCCTAGAATCCTACAGCAGCCACACACACCAAGGAGAGCTCCCCAGTCCACCTGCCCCAGCTCGGCTCTGGGCTTCTCTCAGACCAGGTCCTGTGCTCCCCCCCTCCCTTTACCTATCCATGCACCCACCCCCTGGGTGGCTGGCTCCAAGCGGGACTGTGGTGGCCGTGGGGAAGGACATGGAGCCAAGCCCTGCCCCCTCCAAACCAGCTGCCAGGCAGAGCCCTGGCCTAACATCAGGACACCTGAGTTCTGGCTCAGGCTCACTCCCACCTTACTGTGGGGCTCCTGGTGAGTTCCTGGCCTCTCCGGGCTTCTCTTTCTTTCTCTGTGAATAAGGGGTTTGAACCAGACCTCCACTAGGGAGGCCTGGACCAGAGCTGAATTTACCACTGAGCCAGACTGCCATCTTCAAACAGGGTGGGCTGGCGGCAGGGTTATCTGACGTTGGGCCCTGTCTCCCACCCAGGCTCCTCTCTGCCCGTGGCTCCTGCTCTGTTCAAGGGACACACAAGTCAAGGCCCTGCTGTCAGCCTTTTGGGACTTCTGTCCTGCCGGGAGAAAGGGTTGTGGTTCTGGTCTCACTGTCCAGGGCTCTGACCTTTGGGCAAGAATCACCTTTACTCTGGACCCAGGTTGTGGGGAAGTGAATCATGTGCATGTAGAGGTGTAAATGCTCCCTGCCAGGTTCCCAGTGCCAGAGGGGGAAATGGGGATGTGAGTGCCCCCTTTGACTTCCAGAAATGCAGGCTCCCTGGGCACAGAGTGGAGGTATCTGGGAGATGGACAGATCTGGGGCTGCGACATCTCTGCCCCTGCTGGGCTCTGGGAGAACCCTGTCTGCAGGTGGCCTCCACCTGTGTTCCTGAGTAACAAAGAGTGGCTAATGTTTACTGAGCATGTACCACGTGCCTGGTGATGTTCTATACATGTAACAGTTCTTAACTCATTTCATAGTTATACCTCAAGACAGCCCTTGAATAAGGCTTACCACGCCACTCTACAGACAGTGAGGCTCAGAGTGGGGTAGTGACTCGTCCAGGATCCCAGCATTAAGTCACTGGAAGGGCTAGTTAAAAGCCAGGTCTGACTGCACTCCTGGCTTCTGTTTGTACCCTAAGGTAGCTCTTCTCAGCGTATACATTAGACACTCAATAAATGTTTGATGAAGATGTTTGATCACTGCCATGTAATGGAAAGATCCCTGTCCTAGTCCAATTTTACGCCAGCTCCTTGTGTGTCCTGAAGAAAAGTTCTTTCTTCCTTTAGCCTCTGTTTCCCCTGCTGAAAACAGATGATAAGTGAAGGCCCAGAGAATTAGATACTTGGAGGTGGGGAGGATCTTGAATTTCTATTTCTACAAACACCTGCCTTTCATGACTTGCCTGAGGAGGCCCCATCTGCAACCAGACCTTAGGGTCTCCTAGCCCCTCCTATACCTACGTCCAGAACCTCTAAGAGCACTCCAGAGACAAACAACTGGGTACAGCCCAGCTCCAAAGGACAGAGAAAAGTTCATTTCCCTGGCAGGCAGCTGCCTGATCTTGGGGGGTGGTAAGGTGTGCCTATGGTGCCACCTGACTGCTCCACCTGGTTGGAGGAGTGGCTCCTACAGCCTCTCAGCTCAACCAGCATCACTTCATCTCCTTAGCATCCAAGCCAGCCCAGGCACCACCTCCAGCTGTCACTGGCCCCAACTGGAATCACCTGAGCACCCAATTCCTCCCAGGCTCAGAAACAGAGCCCACTCTTTTCCATTCAGGGTCTGTCCCCTTCATATTACCCCTTCATCTGTCACACTTGAGTTCGTTCGTTTACCTGGGCCACTCTCCTGAGAAGCAGGGTCTGTACAGCTCAGCAACACTGTCCTCTGTCTTCAGGATTCTCCAGTTCCTCCTTAGTTTCTGGCCTTTGGTAGTCATCTCAACAGAACAGGGCCTTTCTCCACTAGGCCCGGGTTGGGTAGGAGAAGGATGAGGAATAGGGACTCCTCCAGACTCCGTCTCTCTAAGCCTGTATCCAACAAAGATACTAATCCTTGGGGTGCAGGGAAGGGCTCCAAGCCCAAACGCAGGAAGCCTGCGCGTTAGCCCTTGCTCACAGACTGCTGAGACCTGGGGCAAGCTCCTGCCCCTCTTGGGGCCCTCAGTTTTGCAATTTGTATAATGAGGAAATAGCTCCTCAATCTGCAATCACCCAATTATAAAAATCTTTTGCCTTTAAACATTGCTTGGCAACTTAGTTTCACTTCCGGATCTTATTCAATCCTTCCAATAACCTATTTCCATTTACAAATGAGAAAGCTTAGGTCCTCAGGGGAACAGAACTATCAAGGTCACACAGCAACTCAGAGATAGAGCCTGGGCTAGAGTCCTTGAATCCTGAACCATCTGTGGTCTTCCACACTCTTAAGATGATAGGACTCTGGCTGTATGACTTTCTCTGACCCGTTGCCCCACTGGTAAAATGACTGCTCTAAGGATCAAATTAAGAGAGACAATGAAGGGGGCTGTGCTTTGCAAACCATAAGAAAAAGGACAACAGAAAAAAAACGGGACGGTTACGTTACTATTTATTACTCTTACCTTTGCTAAGGCGCCCCCTCGTGTCCATCCCGAGGCGCTCCGTTTGCGCAGGCGCTCTTTGGTGTTTACGGAAGCCTTGAGGCCCAGCATTTGCGCGTGCGCTCCGCGTAAGGGGCTGCCCAATGGCCTTGTGGCTGTTCGCCGTCGGACGCTGCCTTCAAGTCCCCTAGTGGTTGTGGCCGCCCAGTTACTATGATTCCCTGGGGCCCTGTCTGCTCTGCTTGGGTTGAGGCGTTTCTACAACTCCGGAGAGGCGGAGACCTAAGGAATGGCAGGGAGTGGCACAGCGCGGTCTCCCAGGACTCCAGCATCTCAGTTACCGCTGTACTTTAGTAGGGGTGCCGACTTTGGCGCCCCTCACGGCAGATATGGCGGCCCGTTCACTGCCTCTTGGGAGCCTCAATTCGCTGCTAGAACTTTTCCGAGTTGGAACGCTGTTAAAACTACATTTCCCAGAAGTCCAAGAGCCAGAGTCGCGGGAAAAGGGCCTGGGGCATGTGGGGAGATGGAGTGTGGGGACGGTAGTGAGTTTGTGCAGGCAGGGAAACGCGATGAAGTGGTGGAGCCTCGCTCTCTGAGCCTGGGCTGTGGGTTCGAGGTACGCACGAGTTACACGATAGCTGTCATGGGGAGAGAGTAGCGCTGTTGGACTGAGTTTTAGAAAGAATACTACACACTACGTGTCTGCACCTCCCACAGGGCTTCCACCCCCATCACTCTTAGGAGACTGCACTCCCAGGCGTCACCGTCGCCTGGGACTCTGAGTTCTCTTACTGCTGTTCAAAAGAACTGTTTATAATAATGGAAATATTCTATAGCTGCATTGTCCAGTAGGGTAGCGTCTAATCTGTGGCTACTGGACATTTGACATGAGGCTAAGTGCCATGGAGGAAGAAAAACTTTTACTGAGTTTATTTTTTAAATTCAATTAATTACTTTTAATTACATTTAAATAGCCACCTATGGCTAATGGCTACCATATTTGACAGCGGCACACTATACTAGACTAGACCTCTTAGTGTTCAATACCAACAATCACCTTCCCGCTTTGTGAGACCTAACAATTTAGTTTTCTTCCTACTGTTGACTAAAAATAAGTACACCACCTAAAAGTTGAGAACTTTGTTTTATTCGCAGCCTTACTGAGGACTATAGCCAGGGATGGCAGCCTCTCAGATAGCTCTGAAGGACTGTTCCAAAGACGTAAGGGAGGAGCAAGGAGTTTTTCCTGAAAAAAACATGTAGTGAACATCCAAAGATTACTGCTAATCACACACAAGAAACCAGACATCTCCAGTTAATTGTTTTAGTGCCTATGCATGGGAAGATGCAAGAGTCTGGGTTCATTGAAATTATTCCTTTGGTATGCATCTTAACTATCTAGGGCTAGTATCCTGTTTTTCTCCATCCAGAATTCCCCTCAGGGTGCACCGTTCAGGGGTGCCTGCAGTGCCTGATGGCTGGATGGCAGGAAGCATTCTTTGTTTACTGACTTGTCAGGCAACATTTTTTTGTCCACACTGCCTACTCACTACACTTAGGCTTTGCAGATTCCACCTCCATTGTGTGTCCCTTGAAAACCTAAAAATTAGTTCAGACTGTAAAAATCTGCTGTGATGTTCATCAGGCTGGAATAACGGGCACAGATAAAGCCAGCTGCAAAATTAATAAGAAACAATATTTTCCCCAAGGATATACTGCAACTATAAAATGTCATAACAACCCCCTCCTTTGAGTGACTACTTCTTTCTTACCGAGCAACTTTGTTTTCTAAAATCATAGACTGTCAGAAATTTTGCTGTTTGAAATTATATAAGTAGAAATGAAACTCTTGTCTGGAGGAGTTAAATCCCTAAAAGGACAGGATTTACAATCCAGGTGCAGAGACTCAGATAAGGGATTTCTAAACATATATTCCACATCTGCCTTAACTTTATTGTTTCCAAGGAAACAGGACCTTGAGTCCACTGAGCAGTCCAGACGCAGTTCTGCTTTGCTTTGAGCCATCAAAATATTGCCTCATTTAAATTTCACCTAATTCCACCTCTCTCTCAAATCCTATAAGAACTCTCTCTATTCCTTTGTGTTTGGTAGGACATCTCATTTTTCCTCTGGTGTGTTGTCTTCCTCCTAGCAATGGGTCAATAAACCTGACTTCATTGGACTATGCATCTGTCCCTGGTGATCTTTGATTGGGTTAGGACACGGTGAAATACTGGTGCCATTCAGGTTCTATCATAGGCCCTCTCTTCACTCTGCGTACTCTCTTTGGATGACCTCATTCACTTCCATCCATAAGCTGATTCCCCAATTTATGGTTTAGGCCTTTCTCTGGCCTCTGGGATGTCTGCTTCTGGTTCCTTAAACTCAGCGTATTTATTTATTTTTTGAAATTCATTTATGTATTTATTTTTGGCTGCGTTGGCTCTTCGTTGCGATGCCCGGGCTTCTCATTGCGGTGGCTTCTCTTGTTGCGGAGCACAGGCTCTAGGCGCACGGGCTTCAGTAGCTGTGGCTCGCGGGCTCCAGAGCGTAGGCTCAGTAGTTGTAGCGCACGGGCTTAGTTGCTCCGCGGCATGTGGGATCTTCCCGGACCAGGGCTCGAACCCGTGTCTCCTGCATTGGCAGGTGGATTCTTAACCACTGCGCCACCAGGGAAGCCCAAACTCAGTGTATTTAACACTGAATCTTTTTTTTTTTTCTTTTGGCAACCACTCTTCACTGCTGTGTTCCAAGTAAGAACTAGGCACTGACCACCTCTGACCATGAGATGGTGGGGACACTCCTCACCTGGGTCAGGTACCTCTTCACTCACTGTCCTCAAACTGCATCACACTGGATCAGCTGCTTTTCACATAGGTCAGCAGCCTAAAACTTTAGAAAGTTGGAAGGAATGATGGGCTGTAAGTGAAAAGCGGGTCTCAATTACTCTGCCCCTTTCCCCCACCCCCACCCCCAAGCCCTCGATAATGGCTGGGGCCTCACAGAGGAGGCTGCAGAGGCGATCCCACCTGTCTCCCCCTCATCTCTCATGGTCTCCTCCCTAGAAGCTCTTCCAGTTGTGTCACCAGCTCATCCAGTCCCTAGTCCCTGCTAGTGCCTTGGGAATTTCATAGCCACCTATTTTCGCTGAGCCTGGTGGCTTTGCATAGGGTCAAGCTGTGGCCTGCCTGCTGCCCAGAGGGAGGGTGAGTACTGTGGGAAGAAGCTTCCTCTTGGGCTGTGCTGGTTTTCTCTTGAACACGCCTAAAACCAAATATACTTCAACATCTTGAGGATTTAAGTTCCTTGTGAAGGACCCTCTTGCCGCTTTATTCCACCCCACCTCTGCCACATCTCATCTACCAAAGAATTTTCTATTCCTCTTATTCATATAACTTTGACCTGCCTTTTTGGAAAATGAGAAGAGGTCATCTTTCCTGCCCATTTCAAAGCATTGTTCACATTCGCCCATATTGAATGATGCCCAAATCACAAGTTTCTCTCCTTGGTGGGTGTAGTTTCAGTTCATCCCATTCCAAACACTGTTTTCACTTTAATGCAATAGTCAACAGTGCGTGCACGTGGTGTGTAGGGAAGGTTGGGGGTCCCAGGACCCCTTTAGCTACAGATGAACTCACTTCCCTCAAACCCCAAGCATTTTGACCATTTCATGCTTTTAGACTGTTTAATTTTTAGTTCTATATTATTTAATTTATAATCTTTGGTGGTCCATTGGTTATAGACATAAACAACTATTTAAAGAGAAGCATAAAAATAAACCTATAAATTTGTCTAAAGATGATTGTTGCCAGATTCTTGCATTTATCCAATCAAAATGTATACACGGCACATCCAGATGTCACTAAGACTGCAAAGCTACAGATAGAAAAAAGAAAAAAAAAGTGGACGTGATGATCATACTTCATTTGGCTTTTCATGTTCCGAGAATAAAGCCAGCCCACTCTCCCCGGTATCATTTGTGAAAACTGCTTGCAAACAGCAGTCTGAACATTTAATCTCATCATTTAGAAACAAAACATAAACATTAGAAACAAAAAATAAACCTGTTGAATTTTAAAAAGTATTATGATTACTGTTATTTTATTTTATTTTTGGGCGAGCCTCGAGACTTGCAGGATCTTAGTTCCCTGACCAGGGATCAAACCCAGGCCGCCTGTGGTGGAAGCGCAGAGTCCTAACCATTGGACCTCCAGGGAAGTCTAAAAAGTATTATGAAGTATTTCAGACATATATTTCCAATGTTAGGACACACAGATCCAGCTTCTTCTTTGGATTGCATTGAATTCCACCTTGTGGATATACCATATATGTAACCATTCATCCTGTCATATACTGGAGTGCAACTGCTGGGGCCAAGGGTGTGTTTGAATGTGTGTGTGTGTAGTATGACCAAAGTGCCTTCCCAAGAGGTTAGCCCTGTTTACG